CCATGCCTATAAACCACACATAATTTGACACTGAGTAAGAAGAGGATACAGCCCCCTTTTTTATGTCACCTAAAGGATTATTTCTTAGACCTTTCTCCCCACAAACATGACAAAAATCTACCTTTGTCCTATTTTATCATTTTCCCTAAATTGCTTAATGATTCTGTAAGAATATAGGAAGGAGCATCAAAGAGGGAGGGAAAGGAAGGTTAATACATTTGGGAGAGTTAGGTATTTACTTTACTCTCTGAATATTTTTAAATCTACCTTTCTCTCCTTACTACTCAATCCCACCCTCTAGCCCCCTTAAGAGTTTCTGCTCAAATTATTCTTAGTCATTTGTTTTTTCTGCTTTGATTCTGGATACAAGAAAAGAGTATACACAAAATGTTGAATGTTTAATTGGGACCATCAATAGAGTTAAAGAAGCAATAAATTAAGCAAAACTTTCAGGATCATTTCCTAAACATCTTGAGCAAAATTCATGGAGGGTTTATCAAACTCATTACAAAAGCCTCCTTATGTAACTGGATAATTATAAATTAAAGGCCTAGCACTGAAAAGAGACAAATTCAAATTGGCATCCTTTAATCTTCAGTTGGGTTTTTGAAAATATGTTTCTCTCTTAACTTTCAAAGCTAGAAATGAAAATAATGGTTCCTTCCAATGGGATGAACTGTTTTAAACCACTTAGTATTTTATACATTTAATACATGTATGTATATTTACTGTGGAACCAAATATCCACAAAAACATCTTTATATAAAGTGGATGCTTCAAAATAAACAGAGAAAATCAATTTCACTTGTTTCTCTTCCATAATTAATTATATTTATAAACAAAAAATTCAATCATTAGAACCTAGATTTTAACATTTTTACTTTAATTCTATCACCAGGATTAAAACCTTGTAAGATAAACTGAAATTATTGTGGTATAAACAGAAGTGTTTATCTTCTGATTTTATGAAAAAGTTAAAGAGAAAGTATTTTTAAACTATTGCTAAAAATATGCCTATTAAGACAATTTTACAAATTTCTCAGTATTTTAATGTTACTATTTGAAACTAATTATGCATGTTTATTCCATTAATTTTGCTACAATTTCCATGTGATGTAGTTGTTGAAATATTCATTACCTTGGATAAAATCTAAAGAATTTTAGTCTAAGAAAAGTGGTTCTTTAGGGTCTTATGATAGTGTCTAACACCTATTTTATTAAATTTTAAATGTAAATTTTTGTCATTTCCTTTGATTACATGTCCTATTTTATTTTGTTGTGGAACTAGATTCTCACCAGTTATTTAACCCACTTATGTATGCATATAAAAGGGAATTATAAGCCATGAAAAACATTTAACAACTAAAAAATCAACTATAAAATGTGTCCAACTATATAATAACACAAAGTTATACAAACGTTAGAAAGCATGTTACTGCTTGTCAGAACAACAATGAATTCTTCCACTTACTTATTCCTTAGCCATTGTTGAAATTCTAATTCATTTTTATTTTTCAGTCTTCTCTTTGAAAGAAGTTTAGTAAAAACAAAATAGGTAATCATAATCAAAGATCTCTTTCTCATTAATATCATTCAGGAATATAAATTTCAATTCTTCTCTGCTTGAGTTATTACAACAAAAGTTGGAGAGTAAAGAGTAAACACAAGCAAGAAAAAAGAAAACCAGTTAAAGGACAAAGAACAAGAGGGGCTCAGACACAAGTGGGTTAAAAAGGAAGGAAAAAGAAGAATTCTAGATGGTACTGCTTTAATAATGGTGCCTGGGAGTGCATACTGGGAATCCAGGAAAAATTGAGCTTACCTGTTAGAAATAGGCGTTTTCTGGGAGCTGTCCAATGTACCAACTGAACCATCATAGTCAAAACTTACCTCCTTAATAGGAATTGATGTACATGGTGATTCGATTCTGTCTGGAACCAATGCGTCTCCTTGCTCATCTTTTTTATTTTTATATTTTGGCTATTTCTTCTAATAGGAAAAATAAACCCTTCTTTGTTAAAATATTAGAGATACTATACAGTCAGTAAAATTTCATTTTCATTGTATTACATTTAAATTTTCTTGTTCCTCTTAACAAAATGATCTAAGGGTAACAACAAGAACAAAAATAAAACCCTCCCATAAATAGAATGAAAGGAAGTTTAGTTCTTGCTCTTATGTCCTGTAGGGCAGTACAGATCAATGAGGAAAATAAGCCAGATGGACATGTCAGGATTTTTCTTTCTTCACAAATACTGATCAGCAATTTAAAATTCGAAAGACTTCTCAACAGAGGCTGAGCTGATGGACCCATGGGTTTTCTAAAGGGCAAATCAGATGTTTGAAAGGCGATCGAAGTTGTTTTGTTTGGGGGCGGGGAGCGTTTGCTTTGCCCCCCACGCTGGGATTATACATAGAGCAAGCTCTGAGAAAATGCGCCCGGCCTCCCCTTTTCATTTCATTGCCCTCGTCACTTTTGCCCTCGAACTAAAATCCTCTACTTTACATGAGTAGAAGATAAGGGTAGGAAAAGGAGAGTCAAGTATCTGAATTGTGAGGCTGCCTAGGAGAAAACAGACTTTAGAAGTCAGGGTTTGTAACCAGGCAGGAGAGATGGTTAGGATGCCGGAGGAGGCCAAAGCCGGTTCCAAGAGCGACTCCGGGGAATGCGCCCGGGGCCCCCAGCCGTGCTTACTTAAGCTAATGGAAGAGCTTGCCTTTCACCAAGCGCTGCACTGGGATACCAGACAAACAGCTCCCCCTCGACCCCGGGCAGACAGGGCCCCTCTTCAGGACATCATTAAAAGCACTTGTTTCATACTGGTGGCAGGATTCAGGACTCCGACTCAGAAGCCAAGGAGAAGCCAGGGAGGTGGAAAACATCCTCGCTTTGAAAAGCCACATCTCAATGGAAGAACTGCGTGAGACAAGGAGCCTGAAGGATATGAGTTGGCCGAAGGGCGAGGAGAGACACAAAAGGCACAGCAGGTAAGAGCTGGGGGTCGTGGCCAAGAAGGAACTGTCCCAGGTGGCGCAGCGAAATGGATCTTGGACTTGGAGGCCTGTCTCTACGCGTCTTCCGGGCCTGGTCAGGCTGTCTCCTTCCATCAGCTTCGAGAGGAGGGACGTCGCCACAGCCTTCCCAATCGGAGCGACTAATCCTGTTACCAGTTTGGTCCTAAATATTAAGGTCCCCCGTCCCTTTGTGGTTGCCGTCGCATCAGATTCAGGGCTGTTAGGCAGCCGATCCGCAGTCTCGCCTCCGCCTGCGAGAAACCGATGAGACACAGGACCGAGAGGACTCCATGGCGGCGTATCGGGAGAGCTGCGTGGACACCACGGTGCTGGACTTCGTCGCAGACCTGTCCCTCGCCTCCCCGGGGCACCCCCTCCTCTGCGACTTGGCTCCCGGGCTCCCCTTCGGGGACCGAGGCCTGGCGCTCCAGGAGGGACGACCCATGGGCCTGGCGCCGTTCGAGGAGGAGGATCCAGACGAAGAGGAAGGTGAAGGAGACGAGGGGGAGGAGGAGGAAGAGGAGCCCGGGAGGGGCGCCTCCCTGCTGGGCCGCCCGAAGAGGAAGCGGGTGATCACCTATGCCCAGCGCCAGGCCGCCAACATCCGCGAGAGGAAGCGCATGTTCAACCTCAACGAGGCTTTCGACCGGCTGCGGAGGAAGGTGCCCACTTTTGCCTACGAGAAGAGGCTGTCCCGGATCGAGACCCTCCGCCTGGCCATCGTCTACATCTCCTTCATGACGGAGCTCCTGGAGAGCTGCAAGAAGAAGGAAACCCGCTGAGCCGCTCGGGGTGGGCTCGCCCGCCCCGCCTCGCCCGGGCGTGTTGGAGCGCAAGGTCTTTGGGGACGTGGCGGCGGGTGCAGCGGAAAGGCCTGGAGGGACGCTTCGAGGCCCAACGTCTGACCTTCTGAGCTCGGCTCGGGAGTGTGACCTCCCCAGAGCCCCCTCGCTCGCCGGGGAGTGCTG